TTGAAACTGTACTACCAAAAAAATGCCATTGTTGTTGTTGCATTCTTTCCCTTCCAGCGCATTTGCAATTCTCTTTAGAGGACTAACTTTTGTCTCTCTTTGTCTCTTCGCAGAACTATGAAAGATGTCAACATCTCGGCCATCCTCGACTCCCTTCAGACAGGGTATGACAAGAGAATAAGACCCAATTATGGAGGTAAGTTGACCCTGCCTGACCTGGGGAGGCTCTTACTTGTACTCGGTCATATCACGTTAGGTTACGTAATAATTAACACAACTTCCACGTTTCCGAAGAGACACACATTTAAACTACGTAAGCAAAGAGAGTGAAATTAACACCACGCACATAAACTAAGCGAGAGAGGACGCACGGCACATACACAGGAACACGAGAGGATGTGACGTCAGCACTCTCTATCCAATGACGTCACGGCTCTCACACTTCTTATAACATTCTTTCTGACAAATCATTCTTATTCATGTAGTTCGGTGTTTACTTCCCCGCATCTTTAATCAGAATTGCCACTTTGGGAAATCAATAATCATTAATAATATATATTGTATACACACTAAGTGGTCAGAGTCTTAGATATAAGAATATGAATTTATATATTCATGCCCTCCTCAGTTTTGTTGTAACAGTAGATACCATAGTCTTTCCTTCGTTGTGGTTAAGAGGTGTGACCCGATTCTTTCGATAGCAATGTTTATGTGCGTTAGTCTTTCATCTGGAAAAATTCTCAGAAGGAGAGGCAGATTCTTGGTATAATCTGCCTAATCTTGTTTCATGCCTAATCCGATTGTATAATTTAAATGACTCAAAAGTTGTAAAATACAAGTCCAACATTTTTACTATGTAAAGTCAGCAGTGAGCAAGCATTTTTCATTAGCGCTTGCTTTAATTTTTCGCAGTATTTCGTGTCTTTTTTTCTCATTTTTTTCTGAATACTATACTTTTTTCAATATGTTCCAAAAAGTTCCTTTCAAATCAAAGAATTTTGAAAAATTCAGGAACTTTCTTTTTTTTAAGCTTAAGGAGAGAATATCGCTCACTTTTAAATATCTTTTCAATTACATATTTGTACTTTTTTCTCTCTCTCTCTTCCTTTATTTGGTAAAGATGTTGTGATGCTATCTAAAGCTTCAGGTCACAAGTTTTAGCCTTGCTTCCCAAAGCTTTACTAATGTTACATACACATCTTTATTGTTTATCAAAGCCACCTTCGGCAGCTGTCTCTCCCTTTATTGTCCATCTATGACATCAGTTTCTTCACCTTTACTTCATCTTCTGTGTAAACATTATCGCAATCATCATTATCCTCATCATCATCAAAACATCGCCTTCATCACTACATTATTTCATCTCAGCCTTATTATAGTTCACTTTCAGGGAATATGATTGCATTTTGCTATATTCCATTTATAGCAAAGAGATGTGCAGTCGTAACTACCATCAGTTATTTCTTTGTTGTTGCTGCATGTTTTCATAATAAGTATATTTCAATACCAAAGACATGATCACCAGTGTTTCCATAACAGGTCCTATTATTATTATTACAGGGTAACTTGGTTCATCGTTAGGACTTTTATTATAATCAGCAGCGTTGTTATCCAAGGTTTAGCCAAGAGGACATAGATGAAGTGATTCTAAGGGATGAAACCGTTCTTTCCGGCTGAAGAAATACAAAAACAAGAATATATAATGAGAAAACACTTGAGCATCGCGCAGGTAGTTCTGTCTCCGTTTGAGCGTTTACCACACAAAGTGGCCTGCGGTCTGCGCCCCGTCGCCTAATCGAGTAAATATGACTGCGACAACTGGAGCCTGACTCTCGCGCCGTCATAAAGGCGAGGCGGGGGAAGGCCGTGACGAAGGACAGCTTCAAGTCATCCATTCATCCCTCCTTCCTCCTTTCCTTCCCCTTCCTCCTTCTCCCTTCCAACTCTTCCCCTTCCGCCCCGCCACCCCCTTCCCTCTCGCCCCTTCCCCTTCCCTCTCGCCCCCTTCCCCTGCAGCTTTTATACCTTTGAAATAGAAAATGTCGCACACATTCACGCGCGTACCTACCCGCAGGTCCATTTTACCTGTCTGCGTCCATTTTCCGGTCTGGATGACTCACAATGGCCGAGGGCGGAGTCACAACGCCCACCGCGCGGACCTCTCCCTCTCCCTTCTCCCCTTTCTCTCCCCTCGCGCCCCCTTTCTTGCCCTCGCTCTTTACTCTCGTCCCCCTTCCCGTCTCCCTCCTTCGCTCGCCGCTGGCCCTCCTTGACACCCGGTTAGCTTCACAAGTGGCACCAAACTCGCGCGACCAGGTGTCACTTGGCTTGACACCTGGAAACGGGCCGCCCGGGTCCTCCTTTTTCTTTCGGGGGACGGGCGGAGGGCCAAGGAGCAGGCGCGGGGGGTCTGTATTTATATTTTTACGCGGGGGAGTATGTATACATGTGCGATATATATATATGTAAACACACACACTATAATATATATAATATATATATATATATATATATATATATATATATATATATATATATATATATATATATATATATATTATATATATATATTATATATATATATATATATATATATACATATTCATACACACGTGCTAGCATGCATGCGTGCGTTTGTATGTACGTGCTTACGTGCGTGCGTGCATGCGTTCATGTGTGTGTGTGTGTGTGTATGTATGAGCAAATAAAGCTCTAATGAACTCTATTCTTATCATCATCTCTTAATCTTTACTGACATTATATATTTCAGGTAAATATAGAGTGGGCGAACATTTTATAATTAGGTTTATTAACTTAATCATATTACACCGACACTACATTCCAGGCGGGAATATCGTTGTTGGGATTCAAGTCTTGGTGAAGGAAAGAGAGAGAGAAGAAAATTAAATTAAACAAGTAAAAAAAAAATCAAATGGAAGAAAAATACGTCCTCAACTCCAGTACAGAAAATATACAAAATTCACGGAAAAAAATAAATAAAAATAAAACGTACAGCAAAAGAAAAGCAAACAAAACAAAGCAAAAAAAATAGATGTTACGGAAAGAAATGCCAGCCTTAAAGTCCGGGATTAATATAGAAGGGTCGCCAAGGACATAGTAAAAGTTAGAAACGATCTTTAAAAAAATGCCAGAGAACCGGGAACTTTGCCGAAGGATGCGGTCTGAAAGATTACATTAGCGATTGTTCGAGTGGGAGGAGAGTGTTCGGAATGTCGCACGCCGACTTCAAATAGGCGGTTTAGAGGAAGGGGGGAACGAGAGAGCGAAATGAACGAAATCAGTCAAGATAATGGTAAAGAGAGGTGGAAGGAGAGAAGAGGGAGAAGAGAGAGAGAGACAAAGAGACGGAGAGACAAGAGAGAGAGACAGACAGAGACAGACAGACAGACAGACAGAGACAGAACAGAGGTAGAGACAAAAAGAGTCATAGCGAGAGAGAAAGAAAAAAAAAAAACATAAAACGCTTGGGAGAAAAGGAGCAATAAAGTGAAGAGAAAAAGGAATACGAAAGAGGTCGCCATTTTTCCTTCCCTCTTTCTCTTTGCGATCCATAAAGGTTTCTGGGACACTGAGACGCAAGTTATTCCGATATCATAACAGCGGTTACGATCTCCCAGAGCCAAAGAATTTCTAAAAAAGGAAAGAGATTAAAAAAAATAGATAAATGAAAATTAAGAAAGAGAGTTTATACATGCATTCTCATCGTTTTCTGCAAACGAAAGATGAATAAGTAATATTTTGTGTGTGTGTTCTTAAGCTTTTATATACGGTTGCAGCTGGCACAAGTTGAAAGCTTGGGATCGTCTTGAAAGTAAAAATATATTTACAAGCTTAAGATGACTTGGGATACTCGAGAGCTGTACTTTGGCGTGTGTGTTTAATGCCCTAGACTTATTAAAGAGCTTAGTGATGGATGATAACATTTTTAGGGATAATAAGTACGTTGTGTACATGTGTGTGGGTGTGGGTGTGTGTTTATGTTTAGCATGTTGTGTGTTTGTGTGTGTCGGTGTAATTATGTGTTAGCCGGCGCGTACTCGATGTGTGTATGTGTGTGTGTGTGTGTGTGTGTGCGTGTGTGTGTGTGTGTGTGTGTGTGTGTGTGTGTGTGTGTGTGCTGTGCGTGCGTGCGTGTGTGTGTGTGTGTGTGTGTGTGTGACTGATTTATTTCTACCTCTCTGTATGCCCCGTTACACAACTTCCTTTTCATATACATGTTTGCGCCCTCGACCGGTCGCTTATCTATCACCAGTGCGTGTGTGTTCCCAATTACCGCGGCACCCAAAGCCACCTGAGCAGCCGGAGGGGGGAGGGGGAGGGGGGGATGGAATAACCTCTTCTGGGGCTGGTGTCGCTGCCAAGTTATGACTACTGATAATTCCAGCTGATTCAATTAGCTGGTGTTATGATGGATCCCGGTCGTCTGAAGTGATTAGGGGCAGGGGAAGGTTAATTGCCTGAGCCGCACGGATAGCAAGCTGTGCTATTACTAGAGACAGTGAACGTTTGCTATTACCCATCTATTTCTAGCACGATCTCCGCTCTCCCTCGCTCTAGTTCTTGTATCTACTCCCTCACCCCCCCCCCTTCCCCTCCCTCTGTTATCCGTCTCTTCTCCTCCCTTTGGAAACAGCTCTAATAAAAGGGAGATTAAAAAAAAAAGAAAAAAAACATTAGCGCAATTTTCACTTCAGGAAGAAAGCGGGGAGGGAGTTTCACTGTCTGTTTTGCGAGTTACTTCTGACGGCTTTGCTAAAAACAAGCCATTTAACTGAACTGGCTTAATGTCTGTTTAATTTACACCCCAGTTACATATTTCGCTCCCCCGCTCACGCCATTTTTGCATTCGGGCTAATCGTTCTTGCGTTTCTCTCTCTCTCCTCTCTCTTCTCTCTCTCTCTCTCTCTCTCTCTCTCTCTCTCTCCTCTCTCTCTCTCTCTCTCTCTCTCTCTCTCTCTCTCTCTCTCTCTCTCTCTCTCTCTATCTCTCTCTTCTCTCTCTCTCTCCTTCTCTCTCTTTTTATTCGATTTTTCTCATTCTATTAAATTCGTTATTCTATATTCTCATTCTTATCAACTTTCCTTCGTGATTCGTTTTTTTTCTCTTCTCCCTCACTTCTTATTCAATTTTCCTTCGTTATTCTCTATTCTCATTTCTATTCAACTTTCCTTCGTT